ATGTTAGGCCTATTTGTGTAATAATAACTAATAAATTAACATGATACTGTAAGTCATAATGTGTATCTAATTTAACATGATATGTCATAATGTGTATCTAAATTAACATGATATGTCATAATGTGTATCTAGATTAACATGATACCGTATGTCATAATGTGTATCTAAATTAACATGATATGTCATAATGTGTATCTACATTAACATATGTCATAAAGTGTCTAAATTAACATAATATGTCACAATGTGTATCTAATTAACATATGTCATAATGTGTATCTAAATTAACATGATATGTCATAATGTGTATCTAAATTAACATGATATGTCATAATGTGTATCTAGATTAACATATGTCATAATAAAGTGTCTAAATTAACATGATATGTCATGATGTGTTGGATGCTTTTTTGTGCTTGTTTTGGAGCACAAAATTTCTCATTCTCTTAAGTTTTGAAATTTAATACAAAGAATCATGGGATACGTAGGTGCGTCTAAAGGAAAACAAAGGTGCTTGATGTTTTAGTTTGAAAAAAAATTAATATGGAAGATTGTACACTATTTGTTGCTGCAATATACTCTGTGTAATTCATACAAAGTCACTGCATTTCTCCATGTGTGCAATATAACACATGGTGTGTGGGTGTGTTAGAACATAGGTGGTGTTGATGTTTAGTTTGAAACCAAAATTAATATGGAAGATTGTACATTATTTGTTGCTGCAATACACTTTGTGTAATTTGTACTAAGGCATTGCAGCATTTATACACATGTGCAGTATACAGGTTAACACATGGTGTGTGGGGGTGTTAATGTTAAACTATTGGCAAGCTATTAATTAATTTGTTTTACCTTTTTGGCAGGTGTGTTTCTTTGTGAACAGTGGAAGTGAGGCCAATGATCTAGCATTGTTCATGGCAAGATCATATACCCAGGCCAATGATGTCATTGGCCTCAGGTATAGTATTATCTTCATTTTTAATACGCCAGGGTTTACTGTGATGTTGTATAATTCTTAGTGTCTTTGGGCCTGTATGAGCAAAAAAGGGTGTGTTTGACACCTCCAGGGGTGTAGGCTGGTTTCGACCTGGGACAGATGCAGGGGGTGCAGATGGTGCAATCGCATTCCCCTAAATTGTATTAAGAAAAATAATTGTATTGTATTGTTATGAATTACTGGTAAGATTTTTGATTATGAGAGTGCAATTTCAGGGCACCCTACAGTAAGGCACAGATCCAGACCTTCGCTCTGTTCACCATGGCGATGGTCAGAGTGGGAGATAAAATATGTTTTTTAAAATATAAATTGATTGCATTGCCTGGTGGTCTGGCGAATTCCAGCTCTTTCTGTCAGAAATGCCACCTACCTAAGCCAAAGACAAAAATATAGACAAAATAAATGCATTACTTTTTGCATTGTCTAAGTATCATTCAAAAAGGGACTATAATGAAATCAGCTCGCGATATACTGTGATAACGTACACTGTTGAGTTGTTTTTTTGTTGTTATTGAAGATTAGATAGTGTGGTGGATTGTGCTTTAGTTAATATACAAGGCTTTAGGAAGTCAGGTTTTATTATTATGGCAGCAACTTTAACGGAATTTGCATAACAGATTCTCTTGTTCCTTTAGGAGTGCCTATCATGGAATGATATCTAGTTTGGTAGGATTCACTGCAATGGGCAATTGGATGTTTGATGTACCCAAAAATTCAGGAATTCTGAACACGATCAACGCAGACCCATTTAGAGGACCGTGGGGCGGAAGCAACTGCAGAGACTCTCCAGTACAGGTTAGCTCTTGTGTTTTTTAACATACAGTAGGGATATATATCGTCTAGTACACGTAAAAATGATGGTTTCTCCATTGAAAGCTGATGTAAAAACTCAAGTAATTCAAAGTGCCTGCTAACAAAGAAACGTACAATAGTTCCTTGGGTATATGCCCACCTCAGGTGTAAGACAACCCGTTGAGATTGTGTTAGCTCTAAAGTTACATATTTTTTCTTAAATCTTTGCTTATTGATTGTTGTTGTAGTTATAAAGGAAACATGAAGGTACTATAAGCACCAATTAGGCGGTTTTCACCGCACGATGTTAACGTTAACGGATAACGTCATAATTTACCTTGCATTGCAGAGTATGTTAATTTCAGGATTTTACAAGCCTGACGTACGTTAGTTCCGGGCTAGCGCATGCGTCTTTCGATTTGTTTAAAAAAGGGGTGGAGCTATCGCGTTGCATGTTGGGTACTAACGTTAAAATTAAGGTTAATGTCGTGCAGCTAGAACTACCAATTAACGGCAGCTAGGTAGTCACAAACCATGTCCATGTGCAATTCAGTACAGTGAAACTGCCAGATATGGGTGATTCTCCTATCTTTACCTTTACCTACAGTGTTTATATAAATTTAAATTTGTTTTGTAGACCATAAGGTCATGTGACTGCAAAGCTGGACAGTGCTTTGCCAAAGATATGTATGTTGATCAGGTAAATGATCTGCTGAAACACTGCACACCTAAGAAGATTGCGGCTTTTATTGCAGAATCTGTCCAGGTAAAAGTGATTTTTACAAGAAAATATATTTTAACACAGTAACATCATTAACCAAAAGGTCTACTGATTAATCTCAGATAAGTACGTACAATACATACCCTAATCAGGAATAATTCCTGATGATGAAATAATTAATGTTGAAATATTGAATCCCAACACGATGGTGTGTATTTCAATACTTGAACTATGTAATATGTAGCTGATGACCATCGGGTGCATAATGTGCCAGTCTTATATGCTGTCTAATATGCTCATTTTACTATATATGCCCATCTTGTATTTCTGTCTTGTGCTTTATATTCATGTCTAATTTTCCCATTTTTTATGCCCGTCATATATGTGCTCTATCTTATATGCCTGTCTAATATTCTAATCTTATATGCCAATCTTATTTGCCCATGCTATTTGCCCATCTTACATGCCCGTTTTATATGCACATCTAATATGCCCATCTTAAATGGAAATTCCTCTATTGTGTTACTCTGACACATTAAACCTTGACATGATACTTGATATTTTACAGGGAGTAGCTGGAGGTATTCAGTTCCCAAAAGGTTTCCTGAAGGAAGCTTTTTCTCTGGCTCGGGCCAAAGGAGGCCTGTGCATTGCGGATGAAGTCCAAACTGGATTTGGTCGAATGGGCAGTCATTTCTGGGGATTTGAGACCCATGATGTTGTGCCAGATATTGGTATATGTTCTTTTTGTTGTATTTATTTAAATTCAGTGAGAGAGAAACTTAAGGGTGGGAAGAATCAATTGATTGATTGAATGATTGATTGATTGAGTGATTAGTTAAAAACTGCTACGCTGTCATCACCATACCCTGCTACACTGTCATCATTATTTTTCTGGTTTTAACATTGAATGTGCTAAACTGTCATCACCATACGCTGCTACACTGTCATCAATATTTAACTGGTTTTAACATTGAATCTGCTACACTGTCATCACCATACACTGCTACACTGTCATCATTATTTTACTGGTTTTAACATTGAATCTGTTACACTGTCATCACCATACACTGCTACACTGTCATCATTATTTAACTGGTTTTAACATTGAATCTGCTACACTGTCATCACCATACGCTGCTACACTGTCATCAATATTTAACTGGTTTTAACATTGAATCTGCTACACTGTCATCACTATACGCTGCTACACTGTCATCAATATTTAACTGGTTTTAACAGTGAATCTGTTTCAATGTCATCACCAAACGCTGCTACACTGTCATCAATATTTAACTGGTTTTAACATTGAATCTGCTACACTGTCATCACCATACACTGCTACACTGTCATCAATATTTAACTGGTTTTAACATTGAATCTGCTACACTGTCATCACCATACGCTGCTACACTGTCATCAATATTTAACTGGTTTTAACAGTGAATCTGTTACACTGTCATCACCATACACTGCTACACTGTCATCATTATTTAACTGGTTTTAACATTGTATCTGCTACACTGTCATCACCATACGCTGCTACGCTGTCATCATTATTTTACTGGTTTTAACATTGAATCTGTTACACTGTCATCACCAAACGCTGCTACACTGTCATCATTTTCATGTTACCACTCTGAATGGGGCATTGCATGACAGCAGATCATGTAGGGTGTGGGAGGAATGGCTGTATCTGTATCCAGTCTGTACTCTGCTGTCTTGTGGCTGCCTCACCCAGAGTGATCACCTGACAAGTCAGAATTAATTATTTGTGGTGGCATCCATGATCCAAAGCTATAAAAATCTAAAATGACTCTGAAACAGGTAACCATTCTACAGCGCTTCAATAAAGCAATGAACAAAATCAAGTGCCTGCATCGAAGCTAATATTATTATGATAAACATTTTAGTCTGTTAAATAAACATTGATTAGGAACAGTCAAGGGCAGATCCAGAGAAGGAGGGGGGTCGATGTCCTGGAAGGGGAAGGGCCAATTAAGAGCCAGCACTACCCTAGACACCTGGAATATCCTCTGAGGCATTTCGGGTGATCAAGAATTTTTTTTAACACAGCTGACTCCTATAGACATATTTGTTTTGTATCTGATTCTGTTATAGCACATTACATACAGTATATCCTGTAATTTAAAAAAATATAATTTGTTTTAATAGTTGTGATGGCCAAGGGGATGGGAAATGGTTTTCCCCTAGCTGCTGTTGTAACAACACCAGGTAAACAAACTTATTATTTATTTATCAACATATTTTCTGTTCTGTATATTTCTATGTTGGTTGATTAAATCTAAAAATAATCAAATTGTACTGCATTTAATTAGCAGAAATAACTGAAATTTTTGAATTTTCATCTATATGTTAGTTATTGCCATGTTTACTTAATTCAGCCAATAATCAGATCTTACATTAAAAAACAATCACAGTCAGTTTCTTTACATGATCATTACTGTATTTATATGTTTCTAGATCTGTGTATGATCAAGACCAATTCCGTGTATTGTTAGTAGATCATTGCATGTGTTTTGTTTTTGTTTTATGTAAACATTAATGGATGATAACAAAGCTGTCAATATATATGTTGAACTTTATGTGTATATGTTTAGAGGTTGCCAAGACGATGCACCAAGCTTTACATTTTAATACATTTGGTGGCAACCCAATGTCCTGTGCTGTTGGATCAGCTGTACTTGATGTAAGTACGATTATAATACCCAATCCCACTAGTACTTCCCCTCCTCCTTGCTATACACATCTAGATGTGTATAATTCCACCCCCCCCGGTAATTGTATCTTCTCTAGTGACATTGTATCGCAGGGCCGCCCTTCACCCCCCTTCTTAGAAGGTAGAAAAAAGAAGGAAAGAAAGAAAAAGAAAAAATGTATCGCCCAAAACGCCTCAGAGGTTATTTTCGGGTGTCCCCCTTTTGGACACCTGGATCTGCCCCTGTATCCCTCCCCAAGTATTTGAATATTCTTTGCAAAACTTGCCCTTCTCTAGAAAATTCCCCAAACATGTTTATCCTCCCAAATACAACTGGTCTCTTTCCAATTCTGACCATCTTACGTGCTTCTATGTCCTAAGTATTAAGTTTTAGAAAACCCAAGACAGGAGTGCAACTATTCAGGATGTGCACTAAGTTTATGTACAAATATAAATAAATATAATATAAATGTCACTCCAAAAAAATAGACACGGCCATTTTTATTCTTTATTATTTTAATAATATATTTATATCATTTATTGTTATTTTTTTTAATAAGATGGCCTTGTCAATTTTTGAAGCTTAACTAGTTTTACTAATGTGTAGCAGATATATGTGTTCTTATATATGAGCTGTCGATTTTTATTTATTAAAAAGTGTAATGTGATACAGTAAGACATTTGCCAGGACAAAGTAAGCTATTGTAAAACCCAACATATATTTGTTTATCTTTAAACCACAGGTTACCATAACTTAATAATGTTAAAATATTTTTAATTATGAAAATGAAAATGACTTGAACTAAAGGCCAATACATTTAATTGATTATTTCAAACCCCAGGTCACACTCGATAAACAATATGACAACGGCATATAAAAAAAGTGTTTAAAATACTTCATAAAGCAACTTTCTATTCTGTCATTAATGTGTTTGTTACATCACCCTAGGTTTTGGATGAGGATGGCAGCCAAGCGAACGCAGCCGACGTAGGTACATACATGCTGCTGGAGCTGGCCAAGCTGAGAGATAAATTTGAAGTTGTTGGTGATGTCCGAGGCAAAGGCTTGATGATTGGGGTTGAATTTGTTACAGATAAGGTCATTTTTAAACGTTTATGTTATGTCTACTTTTAGCTATTAAATCCTTATCTTGCCATCTACTGAACCTCATCATATTTCTAATGAACCTCTTACCCCTAAACCTCTCATAGTTCTTATTGAACAGAAGGCTGTTTACAGCATTTTTAATTTAGATTTGTAACCCTCATGGTTGGGAGTTGCTGACCATGTTTGGCAGGCCATTCTTAGATACCCCAGCTTGCACTGTGAAGTCGTTTATGCAATATTTCAGTTCAAGGTCTGAGTACTTCATAGCTTACAAGTAAAACAAATAAGTTGTCATTGTGGCTGCTTATCATCATCAATTATGTCAACATGTGGTCAATTACTTCCTACATATTCAAACAAAAATTCAGCTCCTATTATTTTTTTTTCTGGTAAAGTAAACTTTAGCATACATTTATAGTTAAAGTAAGACTTCTATTGTTGATTTGGTTAGTGGCATCGCTCTGTGTATATCCATGGAGGTATTATTGAGAAGGAGATCACTCGGCAACAGATCACTTTGACGCGACAAACCCATGTGTTCCCCGCTTTTGGATCGCGCGCGGGCTTATTACCCTATAATTCACATTTTTTCGTTAGCAACAACTTGGCAACGACATGCATTTATACGCTTCCAGCAGAGCAGTTGTGCAATAAAGCGTTTGATTTTAACCCATTAAATATCTTTATAATGAACAATGTTCCCCTGATTAGATTTTTTCAGACTTTTGATATGTTATTATTTGTATATTTCAGGAACGGATTCCATAAAATATCTGTCTCTTATACACATCTCAGATCGAGTATTATATTTGTGGACAACATTACCTCGAACAGGCAATAATGAAAACAATTTACTTTTTATTTCACACAATTCGGGGTCCCTTTGTCAATTTTTGGGACAAGTGAAATGTGTCCTTTGGTTACTCGAACCAAGGCGGTATTGAATATACCTGCTTGCTCGAACCAAGTAGGTCTCCTAATAGATGTGTATTTAAATTCTACTAACCAGCCTAATTGAACACGAAGGCTGATTCCGGCAGATTCCTAAGATGATAATTAAAATTACAATTACAGCATGATGGTTGTGCTTTAAAATTGTATAAGATGCTACGTACCTTATGAACCGTTTTAATAATCATTTATAAACCTTACTCCATCCACTTCCATACGCACACTCAGACTGACATATGTTGATGATCAATAAAGTAGCCGGATACCGAACCTGACTTACCTGTTGCTAGCTGACTGAACAAAGTTCCGGCTATAGCATAAACCTGTACAATGATTTACCAGAGTCACATCAAAGAGGGCGTTTTTACGTTTACTGTATTTGTAAATTGACACGTTTTTCGAATAGTTAACCCCCGTTAACCCTAAAATGACTTAGTTTTTTATAATCCTCAATCATTTATTAATTAATATCTGTTAAAATTAGAATTAGCGAATTTTGGCCAATTTATGGAAATTGAAGTTGAAATATACTGTACTTTTAAAGGTCACGTAAATGTTCCATTAAATTCGAAAATCTTTTTTTGGTGGAAAATATTAATATGTTTGATATTTTATGAGAGATAAATGTATCAGCTTCAAAATGGAAACAAATGAGCAGCCATAGTGATTGACTGTATGTAGTGCGCATCGAGAAAAGAAGGTGCTCTCCATTTTGCCATGTTCAATTTTTTGGTAGACTATGCCTGCTGAAAATTTGATGGCGGGGAACACATGTGACTTCAAAGGCATCGCGCAAACGTTCTTCACGCGCTGCGGTCAGCTTTGATCTTGGTTCATTTGCACAGCGCTGCGTGCGCGTAGCTTTTTCGAGTGATCTCCTTCTCAATAATACCTCCATGGTTAGACTGTGAATAAATTTGGTCAAACTTCTGTTTGTGTTTTCTGATTTGACTCCCAATACACTATGTGACATACATACTGTGTATTTATATATCGCCACTACATCAAGATCGTAGTGCTCAAGAAAAAAAAAAAAAAAAACATTAGGAATAATTTAATGCATTATGGAAGTGATTACACGACTATTAGAAATATTCAGTGTTATCTTTTCAAAAGAAGCAATTACTGTAAACATGTGAAGTGGCTGCTTTGCCTAAACAACAGTCTATAAATTGAACGTTTTGTTTACCTTTACAGGCCTCAAGAAAACCGCTTCCAGCAGAAGAGATCAACCATATATGGGAAAGTACCAAAGACCTTGGTGTGCTGGTTGGAAAAGGTGGTCTCCATGGCAATGTAGGTACCCCTTTCACTTTGCTTTTTTTATTTTGTTATAATTTTTTAAATATTGGATTAACATGAAACAAAATGTTACACTGAACGCATACATAATACCAATATTAAGCTGCCGTGGTTAACATTCTTTCTGTTTACCAGTAAATAGAAAAAATATTGACCATGGAGGATGACAGATCTTAACCAGACTGTGTCATGTTGTCTATTACTATATTTATAAAAATGTTATTCAAATATGCCACTTAAATTAGAAATATATCAACACTCAGTACAGAATATAAATGTCGCTACAGTATAAGCAAGTTGGGAGGATAAATAACTGATTTTGATTGTGGATAGAAATTAAAACCCATTACCATTTTATTAACCCATAAAATGAAATTTAATGACATCATTATTTTAATGTTGAGTAATTAATAAATTAAAGTAACTGATTTATTGATCCATTAATTAATAAATTTAATAATAAAAAAGAATAAATAAAATATTTTGATAATATTAACTATTTATCAATTCATTATTTGATAATTATGTCATACAGTATTTGGTTTTCATATTTTTTGTTACCTTCTTTTTTAAGGTATTACGCATTAAACCTCCTATGTGTATTACACGAGAGGACGTTGATTTTGCCATCGCAGTATTTCAGAGGGCACTAGAACACCACCAAAATGCATACTCTTAAAGATGGTCGTACATTATAATTCATTCTTTTTTTATGGTCTATTTTTTTTCTGGTTTCTAACATATTTTATATTTTTTTTAGATAATAATATTTATAATAGATTACATCCAAAACAAACTTGTGTGGTCCAGTCTATTAACAATATAACACAAGAGTTAGTTATTGTTAAACATACCGCGTCTTCAAATTTGTTGGACTAATTTTCTATTTCAAGAGTGAAATAAAACGTTACATTTTAAGCATACCAGATACATGATTCGAGCATATCAGTAACAGTTGGGCATGTTTCCTCAACAGAGGTGCATGTACGTTGAGTCTGTATTAGACCTATAGTAGTAATATAAAACTTGTAGAAGTAGATGTCAAATTTTTCAAAATCATAAAAAAATTGAAAAAAAGGAAAATTATAAATTATATTTAGGTCTGAGAGTGCCATTTCCGGCCATCCAGAGGTGTCATAACTATAAATTTTCTTACCTCACCTCACCCATGGCAGGACTGAGGTGGTCTAGATTCCCCATCTGTGAAAATCCCTCCCTGGACCCCAACTATTTTGATTTCCTGGATGGACCAGTGGTGTGTTTGTAGATTCAAATACAAATTTATTTTAAATCATTGGTTCCTGTTCTTAGTGCAGGCAGAGTGCATGCATAGCTATGGCCCGGGCTTCTCAAATAATAATTGGCACGATTGTGGCTCGGACTCTCGGTATTGATACGCAGTGTCCCAAAATCGTAAATATGCAAGTCGGTTGTATGCTTGTAAGGCACTGTATCCACGTTGTCATCGTTTTAATGACTGGTGTAATAATACGAAGTACTAAGAGTGTAGAGTACTTACTATAAATGCTGACCTCATATCATATTAATCACTCAGCCCAGAAATGTGCTATACAACCCTGTTCAGCCCTACCAATGTCAGTGGCCTAGGCTATGCTGAGCTTATCTAAATTCTTCATATTTTTTTATGAATTGATGAAGTGTTCTTAATATACATAATGTTATAAAAGTATCTTACCCACTATTTTCAGTGTTTAGGCAAGATTTTTGAGACCACTCCAAAAACCTAATTGTACCATAGGGAATCTTGAGCAAGTTTCTTGGTTATTGTTTTATTACAGTAGCGAAGATTTTCTTGAGTTCGGTCTATTTTGTATATTGCATTAAAAAAATAATGTAGATTTTACATTGAACTGAATAACTAGTGGCTTAGAAGGAGGAAAATACGAAACTGTTTTTAGGTATATTTTAGAATATTTAAACTTACTGAAGTGACCTCAGAATTATGTCTTCCAAGTATAGAATCAAAAAAGTTATACTGTATTGTATTTTTTTAACATATTATAGTGTTAGCCAACATCAATTATGCCATATTATCAATCGTATGAAATAGATTATTATATAATATAAATATTATTATTATTGGTGCATTAATACATTTATTGATTGGAATATTTAATTGGATTGGAATTTTTAATTGACTTGTTGATGTGCACAGTCTCGTCAAAATGCAAAATAAATGGCCAATCAAATCTTTTTTCCAGTTTTGTGGGAGTGTTCCACTTTTATTATATTCAATTTTATAAATCTTAGATATTTTTTTCAAATGTTCTCTCCTGTATTCTATAACAAATAGTTAGACACTAAATAGGCTTAGTGTCTAAATATACCATGTCAATTTAAACCTCTTATTTTCAGTTTTTCTATACATCCTTAATATTACCATAATCTTCTTGTTTATACAATTTGTGACCCAAGCTCACAGAAGGGCTATAAACTCTCACCGCACTGTATTGAGAAACAAGCCTTCATAGCCACAATAGGGCGTAGAACGGTCATAACTTTGCTTCCAGACACCCGATTGAGTTCATTTAACTGTCATTTTAAAGTAAATAAATAATATGTTCTATGCCATTATAACAAAAACTCATTTTGGCCTGAGGACGAGTTTACAGCCCTTTTGTGAGCTTGGGTCATATTTTTATCTCCTTACAGACACGAAAAACTTGTTAATATCTTATATTCATGCAAACAAAATAATCTTAAATTGCAATTTTGGTTTTTTATTTCCTATGCACTTATAAGCAAAAACATTATACATACTGAAGTAAATTAATTTCCCCAAAATGTTTCTGCAATTTCGAATGTCATTTTTTATCTGTTACATTCATAATTCATACTGTACTTGATTTTGCCTAATTTTTCAAGAAACCAGTTTTGCATTGGAATATTTAGTCATGATGTGCCTATATATGGTCATGATATGATGTCATCATGATCATATTTAGGCATGTCACATGTTTTTTTTAATTAAAATTATCCAGGACTGGGCACAGTCTGACCAAACATTCTTGTCTGAAATTAATCTGTATATGCCCAGTGGCAGATTCAAGGGGGAGGGAACCAGCTGGCCTACATCCCCCTTCCCAGTTTTTCAAAGTCAAGTCTGAGATTGCCATAATCATCATTTCCTTTCCTCAGTATAGACCCTCCATCTATGGAGGAACTTCATCCCTGCCCCAACCCCCCACTTCCTATTTCTAATTCCTGGATCCACCAATGATGCATGAAATAATCCTTTCTATTGAGTTATATTTACATTGGAAGATGGGAAGGTTTGATAATCAAAATTGCCAATTTCATTTTTCCAGTAGATTCCCAGACCCTCTCTTAAGCTTTGTTCACCATACAGTACGTGGGCATTATGTTGTCATATTTCACCAAATATTTGCATATCACATTAAAAATTTATACTGTGGACAGATTTATGCATTATTCATATTAGGCTGTGTGAATAGGGCGCCCTCTGATTGGAATTTAGAGAAAAAGTCCACCACAGGCATCTTGCTTTCAAACACTGTTTTTTTGTTCCTGGTGACCATTCAGAGCAATTTCCTTGCTTTCTGTTGTCATTTCGATATCTTGTGTTTGTTGTACTTGATTATATCTGAATATCTGTTGCCTTTTCCAAAACAGGACTGATAATAAAATTAATATTAAAACCACTAGTAAAGTTGCTCCAGTTGAAATAGCCACAGTATCTATGAGGTAGACAGACAAATAAAGGTAAGTACTATTGAGAATGTAATACAGACTGTTAAAGAGATTATAATCTAAGCATTTCCTAATTAATTATAAGCAAAATTATTATTATTATTATTGGTTGTGCAAGGAATATATGATTTTTATGTGCCTGGTTCTTTTTTCGTTTGATTTTTATTTGATTGTGTTTATTTGTGTAAATATTTTAAAATACAATTACTGTACATCAAAATCGAATAAGAGAGACGTTGTAACAGACAAAAATAAAGTACATTGTAATTTTTCATTATGGTTGGGTAGGGGTGTAGGTGGGGATTTGATTTTAATTGAAAGCTAATATTTTGCTAAAAATATAAAAAGCAATCATTTTTTAATTGTTTTTTTTTTTTTTTTTCAAATTTATTCTTTTAGTATAGAGTACCACAGTCATGTCGTCAACGCCAGGTGGCGCCCTCCATTGCCAACCAGACGTTGGTTACTGTTAATTACGTCTGAAGGACTTAAAGGCTTTCTGGAATAGGCATTTTAAAATCTAATATTTTACCATCAAAATGTACTAAAAACACAAAAGCTCACATTATATTAGTTATCAAACACAATTAATCATCAATTAAAATTTACAAAGAAAAACTAAGATACAAAATCTTAATAATTACGTTAGAAATTGGGATCAATGGTTGTCAGTGGAGAAAATGGCGTCCGGTTGAACGCATTTTGCAACCATAGCAACGGAGTAGTATCACGTGATAACGTAACACTGTAGTACTCTAGTTACTGTACTTATTTTTACAAATGGTATCATGAATGGATGTATTGATAGATTGAATGATCAATTGATTACAATCGATCAAATTATTTACTGATTTATTAATTTGATCGATGGAAAAATTTATCAATGTACTGAAATATTGATCATTTTGTCAATAGATTGTTCGATTGATTAATAATTGATTGATTGATTGATTTGTATTGCCAATGATTAACTGTCATGACTCAATATAGTACGTACTGGTACACTCTGTTTCGGTTTCATTTGTCGGTTTCATTCGGTGTAAGCTTTGCTCGGATGAGAAACCCAATGTTAATGACGTGGACAGGGGCAGATCCATAGATGTCCAAAAGGGGGGAACTGAAAGTGGGGCCGATCGAGATAATACTACCCTAGGTGATCCGGGGGCGTGCCCCCATGAAATTTATGTGTAGGAGAGTAGGGGTTTGTGACAACAAGATAAGCACTCTAGAAGAATCGTATAACACGTAATGAGACTGTTGGGTTGATTCAAACATCATATCTTAAATTTATTACATTACTGTCTGTAAATTTTCTGTACCTTTTTCATGGTAACTTGCAGTAGGCAAGTAGTGTAGTGTAGGCAGTGTCTGCTTGATATCAGTAACTATTAAGAGGAATTTTAAACATAGTTATTAATCAAAAGTAATTGATATTTTTATCTTTTTTTTTTCTTCTTTTTTACCTTCCAAAAGGGGGTTGGCCTGCCCCCCTAACTCCGCCCCTGATGGAGACTAGGGGTTTGTAACAACAAGATATGCACTTTAGAAGAATCGTATAACAAGTAATGAGACTGTTGGGTTCATTCAAACATCATATCTTAAATTTATTACATTACTGTCTGTAAATTTTCTGTACCTTTTTTATGGTAACTTGCAGTAGGCAAGTAGTGTAGTGTAGGCAGCATCTCCTTGATATCATTGACTAGAATTAAACGAATTTTAAACACAGTTATTTATCAAAAGTAATTGACATTTTTATTATTTTTATTTGTTATTCAACTGGTTAACGTTTATCAAGCATATAGATTACAATTGTAAGTTTTATGATGATGATGATGATAATGATAACAAAATGCTGATTTTGATGAGATGATAATGAAAATAAGGGCAACCGGACAATGGCATTGAATATGATGAAAATGATTTTAAAGTCTTACCTGTGTTATTAACTGGGGGAATTGGAGAGCCTGCTGTAGATGGTGATCCAACACAACATGTTGCAAAATTAGAAAATAAGTATTTGAGATATATTATAGGTTCACCGACCTTGCATCAAGAAATATTCCATATAATTTGAGAATTGATTAGCATAATCAGGTACGTAATATCCCATTTTCGAAATAACGAATCTTGTGCGCATTGGTTTTTTTTTTTGTTTTTTTTTTTTTTTTTTTTTTTTTTTTTTTTTACCCCCCCCCCAAAA